AATACACAGGCAGACTGGCTGAGCAGGGCCACAGTCGACCAGTCAGAGTGACACCTGCACCCAGATCTGTTTCAGGAGGTGGTTCAGAGATTCGGTCTGCTAGTTATAGATCTGTTCGCTTCTCCCCTGAACGCACAGCTCCCTAGATTCATTTTGAGATACCCATCCCAGAGGGTGGAGAACATCAATGCCCTCCATTGCCGGTGGCCCCAGGGACTCTTCTATGCCTTCCCCCCGCTCCCGCTGATATCCAAGGTGATCCAAAAGCTGCTGGATGAGAAAGCGGAAGTGATCTTGGCGGCACCATACTGGCCCAGGAGGCTGTGGTTCGCAGATCTCAGGGGGCTCTCCACAGAAGAACCATGGAAAATTCCACCACACAAAATTCTGCTCACCCAGGGACCGATCCAACACCCGGACCCTTAATGGCTACACCTAGCCGTTTGGAGGTTGAGGGGAGACAACTAAGAAAGGAGAATCTCTGACCAGGGTGATCAACACCATTCAAGCAGCTCGGCACCCTTCTACGAGCCGCATATATAATGCCACATGGACTATCTTTTATAAATGGTGCACCAAATCCAAGGTGGACCCATTTTCTCCGTCAGTAGCACAAGTTTTGGAGTTTCTTCAAAATGGTCTCGACGGGGGTCTCTCTCCAAACACCTTAAGATGACAGGTGGTGGCTATTGCCTCGGTGATGACCTGGGAACATCCATCTCCCACCACCCATGGATAAAGAGTTTTCTTCAGGGTGCCACAAATTTATGTCCACCAGTGGTACATCGTTACCCGACCTGGGACCTTATCAAGGTACTCACAGCACTCACGAAGGGTCCATTTGAACCACTGAAAACTACTAGTCTCCATTTTCTCACATACAAGGTAGTTTTCTTCGTAGCTATAACATCAGTACGACGTATCTTGGAAATAGCAGCTCTATCGGCCCAAAAGGACCTTTGTATATTCCATACTGACAGAGTGGTTCTTTGACCAGACCCCACATTCATACCAAAAGTCAATTCTGCCGTCCACAGGGCACAAGAACTTGTGCTCCCAAATTTTTGCCCCAGGCCTTCTCAGGGCCTAGAGCATCAATGGCACTGACTTGATGTCTGCTGAGCTCTCTCTACGTTCTTACATCAAATGGCTCCTTTCAGGAAGACTGAAGCCCTTTTCGTATCTTTTCAGCCAACCACTCAGGGGCATAAGGTCTCACCTTCAACTATAGGCAGGTGGCTGAAAGCCACGATAGCCAAGATGTATGAGATTCAATCATTAGCCGTGCCTAGGGGCATCACGGCACATTCAACAAGGAGCATGGCAACTTCAGCGGCCTGGGCCACGCAAGCTCCTATAGCAGAAATATGTAGAGCGGCAACATGGCTCTCTCCATCACCTTTCATTCAGCATTACAAAATTGATGTATTTGCTTCTGCCAAGGCCTCCTTTGGTAGGAGGGTGTTACAACGGGTCCATTCAGACAGTGGGGGGGCTCCAACCCAGACGGAGACCCTCCCATAGGACAAGCTAAGCTTTGGTATGTCCCACTCTCTGGATGCTCAGAGCAGCTCAATGGAGAAGGGGCGTTGGTACTTACCTGATATGCCCGTTCTCAGTGAGCTGCGATGAGCATCCAGCCCCACCCAATATCTGTCTGGTGGGATCCTGTTCCGGCCACCAAAATCTGGAAATTAGTAAAACAAACAAACATAACAAAGGAGAGGGCGTGGGTTGCATCACCTTGTCTTTGCCAAAACTGGGGGACGCTAGGGAGGAGTCAGGGAGGAGTAAGAGCATCCTAACAATTAAGCCCAGCCTATCCGAGCAGAGACTAAGCACCTCCCACTCTCTGGATGCTCGTCGCAGCTCACTGAGAACAGGTGTATCAGGTAAGTACCAACGCCCCTTTTCAGCCGCACACAGCAAGAAAATAGGCAATGACAAATTTACTGAAAAAATGAAGCTTAAAAAAACTGCTAATGATTTTCTAGGTCTTAACAATCTTAGTTCTTCATCCTGATTGAAGATAAATTACCATGGGGATTTTCTATCATTTTATATGATAGTAATAAAATTGATGTCCTGGAAAAATGCTTTTGCCAAGTTTTTATATAAATACCTCCAGGCAATAGATTTGTCAACCTAAACTGGCTCAACATTAGTTCATAATAACTATTTATTGACACATTTGAAAGAGAAATAATGTGCCTTTGGGGAGTACAGTTATGACTCTGACTCCTCCGTGTTTGATCTCCAACTATAATCACACAAATTAGGTATCAAAGAGTAGGCATACTAAAGCACTAATAAGTTTCCGGTTTCACTGGTGATGGGCCTCAGGGCTTGATGTTCTCATCCTTCTTTTTAACATCTATATGAAACAGTTGGGAAAGGTCATCCAGCAATTTAGGGCAGAATTCCACAAAGTAGTCAATGTCAACCCTGAAGCTTGAGGGGATTATCCACCATTGTTATTGTTGTTGATATATGAATATTGTTATTCATAGTACTACTTAAGTAGTATTGCATTATTTTCAAGTCATAAATAGGTGTATTTGTACAATCTGAAACCTCATGAAGGGATTGATGTGCTGAAGGTTTTGGAGCTCTCTGGTTTAAAATCTGGTACCATCAATATATTGTTGATACCTAATTGTAGGTTTTGCCTTAAGCCCCTCCAAGCAGTGCTATTGATGCTCTCTCCCAATGTTTGAGGATGTGCAAGTCTGGTGGGGAGAAACAATGTATTTGAATCTCCCAATTCTGGGAATTATTCATCTTCAGCTTGGATGAGATTGTATTTCTCCATTTGAAACTAGTGTGCAATCTGGGGACTTTCTTGGATTCACATTTCCTGCTCAAAAAGCAGGTGGCAACTATGGTGAACAAGGCCTTTGCAGAGGTAGATCTAGGGCACTGTCTTTGCACTTCTGCCTAGTTTAGGAGATCCTCTAGATAATCAATTGGAAATTGATCTCACAATTGGACTGCCACAATGCATTTCTAAATGGGGGTTATCCTTAAAGACCACTCAGAAATTACAGCTAGACCAGAATATAGAGATACAAAGAGTAATGGGCACACCTCAGAATGCCTACGTGACACCATTGCTCTGTGAGCTACATTGGCTGATACTTGGTTTCTGGGTGCAATTCAAGATGCTGGTTATCTTTAAAGAAACCCATCATCTTATGACTGTGAAATACCATTGGATGATCACACTTACTATTTCTGATCACTAAGGGCTCAAAGGAATTAGGAGAATCAAGAATGAATTCATTATAAAATGAAGCTGATTTTAACATAGTAAAAACAGACTACCGAAGTACTCACTAATGCATTAGTGCCTAGCTCTGTCCTTCACATATTTTATGAATTGTTGACTTCTCAAGAATCTTGTCATTCCTTTTCATGCTGAGATACTATTATGACAGCAAAACGACTTTTTTTTTTTACTTCTGGACTGTGACATTTGATAGATAGCCAGGTCAGCATGCTTATTTTAAAAGTAAAGAAGTTGAACTATGATAATAAAAAGGAACTCCAACTTGTAAAATTACCAAAAGCTATAAATTTAATAGCTTTAAATATTTCTGCTTTCCTATGGATTAGCTTCTGTAAAACAGTGACACAACAATTTATTATCTAACTAATTTCACAAACAGCCTTGTATTCACCAAGTACTGTACATTGCTATGGGAACCTAAATAAATGCAGGTATGAAACTTTGGCTACAGTGACAATAACAAACTGAACTAAGTAATTGCACAGCATATGGTGCAGCTGATACTTGCTTGGGTGGGTAACAATGCATAAACTCAGATACCTGCAATTTATGGCAAGGGTTTCTGGAAAAACTATCCCTTTAAGACAACAACTCATAATGATTGGACTTTTCTTGAAAAATTAGAAGCTGAATGGTACCAAGAACTTTCTTGAGAAAATATTAGCTTACTTTGATAGCTGGCCTAACAAGGGTGTTCTCAACCAATGTAAATATTGAGTTAGAAAGTTAGTGTTCTGACCAAGGCTTCCTGAGACAGTAACAATCACACGCTGTTCCCAAAACCATGTTTTTATTTCAACGGCTGTGAATTATATGCATTCACAGCCCATAATGAGTCCCAAACAGCTTATTAATAGTCCAACAGAAGTCTGCCACAGTCGGGATAAGGCTGATAAGCACCCACCTTTATCTCCCTTGAAATGCTGCTAACAACTAAATTGCCAATTAGCTGTACAAAGTCAAACAGAGCACAAAGTCAACAAGGAGCTTCAGATTTTAAACTGACCAGAATGAACAAAGTTGCTTCCTGCAAAGGCTCATGTCCCTTTGCTCCTCCTTTATGTCTTATGGGAGGGGCCAATCATCTCCAAGCCTTACTCCTGAGTCGCTCCTTTTGTCTTAACTGTTCTTGCCTTCTGGCAGCTCTGCGCAAGTGTGCACTGGGAACAGGCTTCCCCTGTTCCTCTGCCTCGCTGATGTCAGGTTCTGGAGTCAGCACATAATTCTCAGATGGCCCTCTGTGTCACACACAGATCCCTCGTCCGAGTCTTCCCCAGACTCCAGGACTGGTCCATGTTCCTCCCCACTGTCCAAGTCTGCTGCCAGCTCCACAGGCCACTGGCAGACCATAACAGTTTGTCCCAAATGTTTTCACCCATTACATCCTCAGTGCATATCCCAAAGGAATACTGTTTTGATCATGGCAAGTGCATGACCTTTTCATCTCCTCATCACTACATATTCCATAGGCTTCTGAACTTACAATCCAGAATAATTTCACAGCTTGATTCTGATTATGCTTGGCTTCTCCATCAACTTTATGTTGGAGTAGTATAGTAATGCTTGTACCTCTCCTGAGTAGACATATTCCTGGGCAAATTTACAAATGTAATATTGTTCAGTGTCAGAGAATAATGGTAATTAAGAATATTTTTTATTTGGAAGTCACATTTGCAATTCAGCATTTCAGCACTGATGCAGGCCTACTCACCAGTTCTAGACATTGCCTGTGTCCATAAGCAGCAGCATAATGCACTGTATTATAACCATCTTTATCTTGGATTGAAGGGTTTGCTTCATTTTGAAGAAGAAATTCTAGACACCTGTGGATTGTTTAGAAATAAACCAAAATGTTACCATTAAACTATATGTAATGACTGATACTGAGATAAATATTCACTGTAATATTAAAAATACTTAATTCCAACTTTTTATTTCTACTTTGCCGAATCCTGTACCTATGAATCTTCAGTTCTACTATACTCACTGTTATTTTAAATAATAGTAATGGCCTGGAAGTTACATACTTGCTATAAGATCCAATTAAAAGCATTCCCATTATACCATTTTCTATAATGTTTTGTTTCTATGAGTGAATTAACCACATATTAAAATATTTTCTTATGCTGGGAATTAGCCAGATTTGAATTACATTCTTTTCAACAGAGGGTTCCAATATGCAGCAATAAGAGTTGCTATCTATACAGCCAGAAACAGCTTTTGTATTTCAAATAACCACACAGCGATAATGAGAAATGCTTTTTATCACTTTAGATGACTATCTACTGAAATGTTATTTACTATGCAGCTATTAAAACTGAAGAAACTCTTCTGGATATTGGAGTCTAACATAGTTCCCAATAATTACTAATTTTTAATGTCAACTGTTTTATTATGTTTCCTTTCCTTTTATTGTTTTTTTAAGGAGACTCTTTATGGCAGATATTTGATAAATCGCTAACTACTATGTACTGTATATTCAAGATATTGGTTATTGATATAATAAAAGCTACAACAATAATCAGAACAATATACCAACTCTAAGTATCAAGTTTATGAAAGAAAGATTTTCCTTATAGTATTTATTACAATGTTCTTGACATAAAGACAATGGAACCAATTTTCAAGCCTTATTAAAAGGTACAACAGCAGCTAACACACACACAAATCTTTAAAAACACGGACATACATAGACATAACTAGATCAACACATATAGACAGTCTTCTATGGACTTCTGGGGAGGGGTTTGCCAGAAAGCAGTATAACACTTTGAAATTAGGGGATGTTAAATCTATTCCTTTGCAAAAGTCAGATTTGCTGAGATTTTAAAATGTGTATCAATGATTACTTGCTGTAGGGATGGGGAATATGTTAGAGTTAAAATTATGATTCTGAAAATTAATGGATTCTAGTTGATTCCGGGTAAAATAAAGGGAAATTTTCTGGTATAGACAGCAAACATTTGTTTGTAACTTCTTCTAAATCCTTGATATATACCAAGCTGAAATAAATAGACATCTGCAGCAAAACTCATTTCAAAGTTTTTGGACACTATTAAGATCTCATTATTACATTTTTACATCACCACTATATTCTTTTAGTGACATGCAGTGGAACTTCTCCAAGTGAAGTTGGGAGCTTCTGAGTTCTCATTAAATAGAAGAATGTAGAACCTAAGGTAGTTTCATGTGACATATCACCAAAGGTCCTTTGAGGGCAAAATTTATTGTAATTGTCTTGACTTGGATTCTGCAGTTTTGACAATTCGATAGTAGAGGAGTCCAGGACAGCTTTAAGGCATAACAATGAGTTCAAGAAACTGTATAGAGTTCAAACAGGCATTTATTTGCTCAAAGTTTGCTTCCCATGGCTTATTCAGGTAATAGAAAGGGAGTGTTTAGCTAAATCCAGGTCTTTATACATTTTATCTTAAAAGCAGGAATGATACAGTCTTGATTAAAGAAAGTAGGCAAACATCTTTCTGGGAAGGGTGCTTGAGCTCTTGGTAGATAATCAGATTCAGACAGTCTTGAATAAAATAGATTTTTAACAGAAGTAAACCTTGATCTTGGCACTAAATGTGCCTTGATTAGGTGGTGGGATAATCCTCTCTTTACAAGCAGAGAAATGTGGGATTCTACAGGACCTTTCAGGTGTCTCTAATACAATCAATTATTTTGGAGAGACTGAGTTAGGTCTATCTCTAGATAATGCTACTGGGGAATTTCTGCTCAAGGCTGTATCATTTAAATGGTTTGGTGCCATACTGTTCAAAATTTACATTAAACTGCTGGGGGAGATCATATGAAGTTTTTAATGAAGTCCCATCAATTTATTGATAATCTGCAGTTCTGTAGCACCCTATCAGTTTCAGGTAATTAGTCAATGTAACACTTCAATAATGGGGTTTATTGGATAAAAGCCAGTAAATCTAGCTTCAACTCAAACAAATGGATTATTGTTAGTGAACGGTAAACAATTTAGGTGAATAAGTGACTCATGTTCAATCAAAATGATTAAAGCAATAATATTTCCCCAAACTGTAAGCATTGCTCTTTTTAGCTCTGCATGCAATGCCATGAAGCACGTATGAAAGGAGCAATGCTTGTGTCATGATGTTGCTTTTGTGATTTTGTAGATGGCTATGTAAATTTTTAAAATTATGAAAAATGAAATATGCCAGTACATGTAAACATACATCTACATCAATAAACAAGAACCGTACAGTTAGCATTTTATGGTTTTCAGATGTCAAATCCAGCAGTAAACAGAGACACAGAACAAAACTAAGAAATGGACATAACTGCAACCCACAGAAGGAGAAGCATAATGCAGAGATGTGGTCAAAGCGCTGTACTAATACCAAACTTACAATGCAGCTTCTTTTTCTTTCTTTTCATTGGATCTTTCAATTTCTTCAGAGTTTTCATGGGAGTTACCCAAAATATTCTTTCTGAATGAAAAAGGCAACTCATTTTGAGATTCTTTGGAATAAACTATTCTTTAGCGTTTCACTTCAAGCAGTAAATACATTTATGAGTGCTACCAGGAAACTTTTTATATAAATGTTTCACAGATTGGCACATGGCAGGAGTCATAAAGAGCACTCAGAAATGGGAAGCATTTCTAGGGTCCTCGTTCTACACCACAGCATCACATTCAGCTACAATATTTTTGGAACTGCTTTCTGATAATAATCATTTCAGCTCATCTTTGCTAGATACAGTTTTCCTCATCAATTCCAACTTCCTCCTAAATATAGGTTGAGTTATATAATTTCATCAATAAAAGTCTCCATGAAGCTCAATACTTCCATGGAGAAAGTAGTGTATCCCATCTAGAAGGAACATTTTATTGGATCCACTACACAAATACTACTTATATGTTCAATTCCACCACAATTTTCTCCATCCTAGACTCTTCCTAAAAGGCTTCTGCAATGGCAGAAATTGTAATCATGTCTAATTCAATGTAGGTATGTATGAATTGTTGTTAACTGTGACACCAATATCAGAAGACATTGGAGTAATAAAGTTGTTGGGAATACTTAGGGTATAAAAGTATTGTTCACATTTTAAAGACATTCTTTTCCTATTGGCAAAAGTACAGGTATTCCTTGACTTACAACAGTTCATTTAGTGACCATTCAAAGTTACAACGGCACAGAAAAAAAGTGACATGACCATTTTTTTTCACATTTATGATTGTTGTAGCATCCTCATGGTCATGTGATTTACATTTGGATACTTAGCAACTGGTTCATATTTATGATGGTTGCAGTGTCCTGGGGTCATGTGATCAACTTTTGCGACCTTCTGGCAAGCAAAGTCAATGCAGATTCATTTAACAACTATATTACCAATTTAAGAACTGCAGTGATTTACTTAACAAATGTGGCAAGGTAAGTCGTAAAATGGAGCAAAACTCACTTAACAAATTTCTCACTTAGCAACAGAAATTTTAGACTCAATTATGGTTATAAGTCGAGGATTACCTGTATAGATGAAACACATAAAATAGCTAATCAGAACAAGCAACAATGACAGCCATAGTTTCCTTCTCTCTAAATCCACACACCATTTCTTATATAAGCACAAACTAAGATCTATAAAATACCTGTTTGCAATAGCCTGCTGATTCACTGAAAGAGGCATGAGGTCTACAGCTTCATAATTGCTATTTTAGCAATGTATTACATTATTAATTCATCTTGATGATCTTAGCTTGTCCATTACTATAGTCATATTCTTCTTCAATACAGAAACCTTTTATGTACAGTATCCATTTAACTTGTAATTGATAAATGAGCCAACAGCAGTAAGAAAACATTGCTATAATTTCTCTCAAATGTTTAACAAAAACATTATGGTCCATTGAAATTCTTTTGACATTGATTTGTTAATATCTAATTTTAACTTAGACAAAAAAATTATTGAAAATGGCAAAAAAAATTCTAAATGACTAAATATCACATGAGTGTATTCACAATGATGGAGAATAAATACAAGTGATTGTAGAAATACAGGTGGTATTTTAATTTATGTGTACAACTGAAGATGCAAGTAGAAAATCTGCAATATGTGGAACTGGGTTTGATTTGATTTGATTGATTAAAGCATTATAAATTATTTCACACATATTATCTTCAAGAGACAATATAAATAAATATCATGTATACTTGAGACATTATTTCATTAGATTTCACAGATCTACCCAAACTACTTGGATAACGATGTGGAATTTTTAAACGTTGACTGGTTGTATCTCTGTTTATATACAGTATTATTCTAATAACTAAACGAGTTCTCCCATCACCCTTAAATATTTAATTAATACTCTATATGTCACTTCAAGCTCACTGTTTGCAGAACAGTGTAGCTTTTAGAATTACAAAAGCTAATTTTTAAAAAATCAATCTTTTTATCAAGACAGCTCCAAGTAATATTATGCTAAACTAGGTATTTTTTCCATGCATGACTTTATTTTTCAATAATGAAAACTAAGGGTGAGGGATATTGACTCAGTCATTCATCATAATTCTCTGTCTTCAGGCACACACTTTTAAAATAAATCTTTTTATCAAGATTTAAACATTTTTCCAAGAACCTACTGGAGAAAAGGTTATGAATTTGAAGGCACACAGTAGTATGATCCACCAGGGTATTTTTATAATCTTAATGTTTAAATTATATTGAACTCAACTATCAGTGGGAGAAATGATCCTAGTTTTTTTATACTTCAATTGTAGGGAAATTCATACCTCCAAAGAAACTAGCTATTCAATTATAAGCTTCCCTCAGAGTTCAAGATATTCTTACTTGCTTTCAAAATAGAGGCAAAAGTGCATGAAGTGCATTTTAAAAATATGATTAAATCATGAATCTATTCTGTTTCACAAGCACAACTCTTGGCTGAGCTCCAGAAGTTTCTTTCTGATTTCAGTTTACCAATTAACAACGTGTGGGTGCTCACACATGTGGTATAGTATAGATAGACATATGTCTATGCGTCTGTATACATGCCAGTATGTGTGTGTGTTTGTTCAGTGAAGTTCTGCTGACATTGGGATAAAAAGATAGGTTTGTTAGGATAATGGTCCTTTAGGAGGTTGGAGAACACTTCATATCAGCATGGAGATAATATTGGGGTCTTGGCTAATGAAACTAGGGAAGAATAAAGAACACATGACTTTACTACTCATCCACTTATTATGGTAGAATTGTTCTTTTAACTGAAGCCATAATTCCTTTCACAATATTTAGGGTAGACTAGCATTTTTCTTAAGGTTCAGTTCGTAAGGTCTATTTGATACATTAACATGGCAAGCCTTCTTCATGTAACTATAAATCAGATACAGGTACCAAAAAGAGTAAGTTTACAAGGACAGCAGCAATTGTCTGCAGCTGTCCATATTTGCAAATGGTGTCAATATATTTACTCCTTCAATAAATGGCATTATAAATTTTCTCTATTCCCTAAATTTTGTCATAATAAAAACTATTTCTTCAGAATTTGATGGAATTGTTTCACATATTATAGGATATTTATGTTTTGAGACTTCATTTATAGTTATCATTTTTAAAAATATTTTTGCTAGAAATCTTATGTATCTGATATAAAGAACTACATTACAAAATGAGCATCAAACACAACATTCTTATAATTTCAAAATTCCCTCAAACTAAAAGAAAATGTAGAGATTCAATCATAGGGATCAGGAGCATTAAGAATATAAAGAGGATATTTTAACTCCCATCATAACGTCATGCTCCTTATAAACCTTCATCCCATTGCTTGAAACTTAATACTAAGTTACATCTTCATATGATAAGAGTTTTCTGAATGTCTCCTCTAATTCAAGAAAATTCAATATTCGGAGAAAAAAAGCCTTAAGAATACCAGTCAATAGGATTTTAGACAAAAAAAAAAGAGCTGTCATTTTTTTCTTTTGTTCAGTAGTTTTGCTCACATTGTGGAAAGCAGATGAAACATTTATATACTATATCTAACCATGTGAAAAGCAAGATAAATACAAATAAGGGAATAAAGTATAAAGAAGTTGAAGCTGGTTCACGCAGAAATCAGCAACCGGGAAGAAACTATGCAATTGCAAAAATAACTCAATATGCAGGAGCAGGTAGTTACTGAAAGCAATTGTAGCAGCTGGGACATTAAAGAGGTATTTGATTCAAAGGGGAGTTTTTGCTTAAATGAGATTGCTGGATGAAGAGAATAGAAATGACACTGGCTTAGCAATGAATTAGAAACAAGGAATACAAATAAGCTTGTTTACTTTCTGTCCATGTCTGAGGCTGCAGCATAATGTAAAGCTGTTCGTCCCCAGTCATCAGTTTCATTAATACTGGCCCCCGTGGTTACCAGCATCTCAATACATTGAAAATGACAATTTGCAGCTGCATAGTGCAAAGGTGTTCTGAAAAATAAATAGAAACATATTAGCCAAGGCATTACTTGAGTAACAGGATACCACTATGTTAACTGTTTCTGACAGCAACATTACTTATAGGGAGAATCCATTTCGAGGTACAACAGCAGTATTTAATTGAATGCAGAACATATTCTTTCTCTTACAGTGAAGATTTGAAATAAGTACACAAGAAATGGTTAAGAAGTGAACAAACAAAAATGGTAGGCAGTGCTATTCAGCTAACTATAAACAAAGAATAAACCATAATAAACCACTGGTTTATTATAAAAATAAGTAAGATTTGTTACAAAGCATGGTACAGATAGATACTTAAGCTGTTATTATTGTAGTTAGAAAACAAACATTCATATGGTGTTTACTGCATGCCCAGTGAAAAATTAATGATTTACTTTTAGGGGGGGACTTTCAGAAGGTAGGGTAAGTGCATTGTTTTGTCTTCCAGATGTCTAAAAGTTGCTTCATTAAAGTGGAGAAATAGAAGGAATAACTCAGAGTGACTAGAAAAAGGGTACTTTAAAAAAAAACTCTGATTCAACTGCTTAAATAAGGACACAGACATGGCAATGGTCTCTACACTTAATCTTTTTATACTGAATTATTATTTCTGGGCAGCCATATAGATGAATTCTGGTGCAAAATAATATAGAACTAAACTATTTAAATCTTAGTAGGAAAGGGGAAAGAATATACCATGGATATAGCATGCACCTGTCTCTTTTGGGATTACACTTTGGACAGGAAGGGTTTATTTCACTTCACTAGTTGGTATAGTAAAAGTAAATTTATTATTGCTGTGCTGTTATTATACAATCTCAAATTTTACTTTTACTTTGAGGAGAGGAGAGGGAGGAGGAGGAGAAAGGAAAGGAAAGGAAAGGTTAGGACTAGTTAACCTACATCCTTGAATGGATTCCCAGTCTGGAAGCAACCTCTTTCTCTGTTGCCAAACAGAGATCTCCTGCATTATCAGTCAAAAGATACAGTGCAAACATTGTATTTTTGTTCTCCCTGAAAAATTTCCTCACAAGATGACAGAAAAATGATGGGAAAAGACAAGAGGATTACAAACTGAGAATGTTCACATCTGAACTTAGTGTTAATCCCACAAATGAAGAAGGATAAGCAACTGAGCAATAGCAACCTTGTCTGAAATCCTATGTGATATTCTTGAACTTGCCAGAAAATCATTGGTATTAAGAATTGTACTACATGTTTTCCAAAGATGAGTTTGGCAGCCAAGCATGAGCTCCTCTTAATCCTGCTCAATTAATTCCAGTATCATGAAACTAAGATCTAGATTTCCACATTGATTTTTGAAGTTTTTGTAAGTTACAAACCTTCCATATTTGTCTTTTTTATTTACATCTGCTCCACTGCTCTGCAAGAGTTTCACACACTCAACATTGCTGAAAAGATACAGAAAGAAAAGAATGCATAAATAAAATAAAATAGTGCTGATGAGAAAAAAGTCTAAAGTTAAAAAAAATAATGGTTAACCATTCAGGAACTGGGAAGAACAAACTACAAGATAAAATATGAGTAAAACACTAACAATTAGCCCTTCATGACATGGGTCCAGGTTACTTCAGGGATTGGCCCACCCACCCGTGCAGGCAGAGGAGGCATGCTGCAGGCCCTGTCAGCCAGGGAATTCCAGTTGGTGGGGTCCAGGAGAAGAGCCTGCCCTTTCTAACATCTCTCCCTTTGGAATGAGATCAGTTCCCATCCTCCTGACCTTCATGCAAGATTTGAAGACCTGGTTCTGCCAGTTGGCCAATAGAGCAACATCACACTGATAGATTAATAACAGATCCCACTTCTCCCCCACTCGTCCTACGCCCTTCCTCCCTCCCCATCCTTTAGTTATAGCTAATTTGTATTTTTATAGCATTTTATTCTTATTGGATGAATGTTGTTGCATTGTTTTTCTTTTTTTTATCACTGTAAGTTACCCAGAGTCACCTCACGGTAAGATGGGCATCAAACAAATTTAATAAATAAAAAATGAAATTAAGTGAAAAAACAATGTGTAAGCACTGTTCCTCAAACTCTAAAACAACATTTGTGTTGGTTAGCATGAATAGGAATTATTCCCAAAGCCTTTATCAGAATGTACCAATGCTCATTTTAGGTGACAATGCAATCAGCCCTTGGAAAATAAGGATTCAGAATTCACACCTGCATATATGAGCCTCTGACTTGGGCATTACAAATCTAATCAAGCATTTCCCAAGGAAACAATCATGTGAACATTTCCAAACAGGAATCCCAATATTGTGTCTTAACTGTTATCTGTACACGGTTAAAAAGTATTTGACTCAAAATTGAGAGCAGCTTCTAAATTTATGTACCAGCCCTGCACTATTAAAAACAGAAGTCTTGCTTCACTTATTAAGGTAGACTTGCTAATTTCTAATTAATCTCTTCAAAAGCTTTATCAACCATAAAACTATATGTTCTAAAAGTATAAAAAAATGATAGGATAGAAGCATACTAAATACATAATCCCTGTGGCTTTTTGAGAATCTTAAAATTGGCAAAAAAAACCTCCAGTGGGATGAACTTGCACAACACAGTAAAAATTTGTATAGCATATTATTATTTAATTTAACTCTCTGGAAAAAATATTTTATTACTGTATTTTTTTATTTTTATTTTTTTTTGCTATATATTGAAAGAGCAACAGTTTCAATGTCTATATAAACAGTGTATTGTCTGGTTACACTTAGTTTGAACAATAATCATAATCATAATAAAATTCATTAGTAGTCATATAATAACCATGTTTTCTTATCATATTCTTTATTGATGCTAATTAATATTAATAATAAACATATCATAATAAGCCTTCCTAGTAAAGTTAATCCTTCTCTTATAATTTTACACATTCTAACTTCTGATTCTATTAGTTAACCATTGATAAACGAATCCCATATTTCAAAATATTCCGTGTCTTCCTTCTCTTTAATTTCAAATGTTAATCTATCCATTTCTGCACATTCTAGTATTTTTTTTATTATCTTCTCTTCTGTAGGGATCTCCATACTTTTCCAATGTTGTGCAAATACAATTCTAGCCGCTGATAACACATGTAGTATTAGATACTTAGTCCCTTTATTATATTTTTCTGGTATGATACTTAACAGAAATATTTCTGGTTTTAGATCTATATGTTCCTTTATCATCTTTTTCTATCCAAGTATGTATTTTTGTTCCAGTATGTTTTTGCCTTTGGGCACGTCCACCACATGTGGTAGTACAAGCCCAGAATCTGATTACACTTCCAACATTTAGCAGACATATCTTAGCTAATCTTGCTGTTGGGAAGTACCATCTGTTAAACATTTTGTATAAGTTTTCTTTGTATTTCTTCTTTGTATTTTATGACTAGCTAAATATTGACTCACTGCGATACTCAAACATTCTAACTTTTGTCCTCTCTGTGATACAGTGGTATGAATGTTAGCAAGTGCAAAAGTAAAGACATTCCAAAAATAATCTGAGTGTACTTAAACCAGTAGTGTAAATGCTTAACTTCATTGTCACTACTCATTGCACATTCAGAACTGATTGAACATAATGGATGCTGAGTTGTTTTGCTTGAAACAATGGAGTAGCTACTTAATAAAAAAACATAATAATAATTTGTGGACATACAACTGTCAAGGTTGCTATGGCAGTAAAGCCCTTTATTTTTAAGACAAGAATCCATCATGTGTTAGATCAGCCTTCTCCAACCTGGCACCTTCCAGATACATTCAGGTTTCCAAACAGAATGGTCTTTTTATTTTTTAAAAAATAGTACTTAAATCTCATAGATAGATGCAACATAAGCAAATCTGTCTACTTAAAAGAACACTTCACCAAAATTCAGAGGAACTTAGTTCTAGTTAAATACATTTAGCAATATAACTCTAGAAACAGCTGTTAATAGTTCACAGCTGAATCTTAACATCTTAATGTTTAGCATTTTTATTTATTATATATGTGTTATATTTTTATCTGGTCTTTATTAGTTATAACTCAAGGCAGCAAAAATACATAACACTCCTTTCTCCTCCTCCTTTCTCCATAACAGCAACCTTGTGGGAGACAGTGACTGGCTGGCCTGAAGTCTCCCAGTTGGGTTTCATGCCTAAAGTGGGACTAGAATCAGTTCCCTGATTTCTAGGCCAGTACCTTAACTGTTACAACAAACTGGTCCTCTCTTGTGGCCAGCATATAAGAGCTCCACTCTAGAGGAGTCCTAGTTATGCTTACTGCAATGAAAGCAAGGCAGAAGTAGAAAGGAGCTGGCCTGCAGCTGCAATACCTTGTTTCCTTTCCATGTATGGAAGGATATGTCTTAATGAATAGCTCAAGGAAGGAAGTCCCTTAGTCTCACTATTCTTTCTGTCCTGGCTAGAGAAGTAGACATTTTACTTTGATCCTTCCCAGATCTACTGAGATTGCTCTGTTCTCTATTACCATACCAGTCATGTTCAGAATTATGATACATACCTTTAAAGAATCTTTTTCCCCTGAATCTTTAGACAATTCTTAGTTAAAAACGTGAATAACAAGAGCATTCTTTTAAAATTAAATTTAATTTCATTTAGTCAGAAAGAACCACTGCACTCAATTCAGTTTAACACTGCTTAATTTGTTCAAGACCCCTTTGACATGAAGTTATCCTGCACACAGCCTACTGTGATGAATGGGAACAACATAGAAAGACACACACCCCCTCCAAAAAAAAAAAAAAAAGCACAGCTTCAGATCATTTCAATACATTTTTAAAGTGCAAGAGGACATTCTGCTGAGAAATGTCTTGAATGAGCTAAGAAACCTTGAAATAAATTTGATGCATTGGCTATTTCAAATTGTAACTAAAGGAATTAAGTTCATATTCTTCTTCAGTTAAGCTCTTGGCTGGAAGAACTGTGTTACTGTGCAGTCCATGAAGTCTGTGGACTGCTTTTCCCTCTCATCCCTTAAACAAGTCTTCAGATGGATAAATTTTAGAATGGTAGAGGTTCACCCTTCCTTTTTATAGCTTGTCTTTGATACAAGGGAAGGCGCACTCTATTAAATGGAGTGATCTGGCTGATGGACTATGAGTGTTTATTTTCTTTCCTGTCTGGCAACTCTGTTTTCCAGGACAGTAATTTACAATTTGGCCTATATTAAAAAACAAAGTATGGGCTTGTCTGGTCTAGCCTGAATGTGCAAGGAAGAGAAATTCTACCCATTTAGGAGAGAAAGTAAACAAACCTAGAATATAACTTTTGTTATTGAATGCATGTCCATTTCGGGTGTTTGTGTGTATGTTTGCATTTATTGCTATCTGACTAATTCAAATTTGCAAGTGTAGAAATCTGTCCCTGTCTTGCTTTTTCTTAATGGCACAGCAGCCAATTCCTTGCAATACACTGGAATGGCAACCCTTGTTTCTGGGTAAGGGGAAATCTGCCTTATTAAATGTTAAAGAGAAATGGCCCTAGGCCTTGGGAAGGATTGCACAATGCCCCCATGTGTCAGTGGATAAAAAAGGGCAAAAGAGAAGTGACTCAATTTGGGCCTCATATCTCTTCTTTTGCACTGTTCCCATAATACTTGGCCTGTCAAAGCATTTTATGCAACAGCCGGATCCACCATTGATTTGTAAAGATTCATCTTTACAGATGGGGTTTTCAGCATGATAAACTGCAGTGCTTGTGTGATGGGTTGGGAATACAGTGACCAAAAAAGGAAGAAAAAACAGTTGAGGGCAAGGAAGCCTAGTCTGTGATAGGGCAACAGTAGTATTTACTAAACTGAGGTAAAACAAGCATAGTTTGTCATGTGTAAAAAGAGGTGTTTTTTTTTTCCTAAAGTGAGGTTTGTGTGTGTGTGTATGTGCATGCACTCATGCATTCCACACAAAACTCATAAATTACAGTAGTTTTTGTGTCATTTTGCTGTTTCTCTTTGGGAAAAATAATTGCAGAGAAACCACAGAGCTAAAGTTACATATATCTATTGCAGTTGTAATTTCAAAACTACTTACCCTCCTGCAGCAGCAGCATGGAGGCACGTCCTTCCAAATTTATCTGGGGTGTCTATATCAAAGCCTGCAGACAGCACGTGCTCATTACTAAACAAGGACACTATGCTATACTTTTGTCCTAGTTAAACCGCAAGAAACATTGCAGAGACAGAAAAATCAGTTAGTCAGAAAAAAAAATCAGAATGAAGACACAACTGTAGTCAGCAAGAGGTTGTTATGGAAACGGACAGTGGCTGTTCAAGCTTGGCCACTATAGAAAAAAAAAAGAACCATAAAGTCAAAAAGAATCTATTTTCACATCCACCCCATTGCTATTGAAGTATTTAAATCATGCAGCAGGCATTTCAGGAGGAGACTTTCAAGAGAAGTGACAGCGGGCATGAAGGCAGAAAGCTCTGTGCGGAAAATTAGGAAGTCATAAGAATTGCTTCAGCATACATCAAAGAGAGTTTTTATTTACTAATGGCTTCAATTTTGCACAGAATCAGGAAATAATCACTTTCTAGAGAAGGACAGATATTTTGTATGGAGAAGAGCACATTTTACTGTAGCAAGAACCTAACAAAATCCACAATTAAGGAATGGGTGGATCATCTCTGTGAAATTGCAAAAAAGAAAAAATGATTATCATTTCTCTTAAGGCAACAGGCAGTAGTTTCATAAGGATGTCAAATTGACTTGTGTCTGCTTCTTTTCTGCATTATCCCCATCTCATTCCTTCACCAGAAATCTGGGGTGGGGGTGGGGGGGTGGGGGTTCTGCCATAGAGAGATGGAGCAATGGAAAATTGTTTGAAGTGACTAATTAAAAAAAGAATTGAGCCTCGCTTAAGATGTTCTATAGCTCTGAAATTAGATTTAATGTTTGCTTAGTATAAAGATGGTGACAAAGATAACAAATTAAGAGATTAAAGAGAGTCATCATAGCTCTCCCACACTTCTGCAATCTTATCCACTCAGAGCATACAACTACTGTAATATTGGGCATTTGAAAATGCAATCAATGACTATCTTACTAACATATCTAAAAATGTACTTGTAAAAGCAGCTTCCATTATCCTTCCTTTGCCATTTTAACATTAATGGACAAAATAACAGATACTTCCTCTACAGAAAGGCCTACTGGTAGTTGGTAGGTCAGAGCAAGGGACAGCTGCTTCACTAATTTTGGAGAGCAAGTAGTTAGGCACTTGGAATCACCCATATTATGGGAATGATATTCCAAAATCAAAGACTAACATATTGGTTTTGGATAGTGAAGACAGCCATTAGTTGTGATGCCTCTCTTCTTGTTCATCAATAACGGTGACGAAAAATTGCACATAGGGTCCCTGAGCATTGCTTGCTGTAAGTTTGGTCCTCCCATACAGTTGAATTAAATTTTTCTAATTTATGACATCAAAAATGTTTATGAGAAAAAAAAAAATTGTATGTAGCCTCCTTTAATCTAGTTTATTTCTCTAGGACTGCAGAGTGCCATACAAGTCAATAATAAAAACCAAGTGACATTGAAATTAGAAATTTAAAATAAGATTAAACTCTCAACAAAGGATATTGTAACAAAACAAATGAAGGCTACAAAAGGGGACAAGCTGATCTCCTGTTTAAACAATGCATTACATTTTTATCATGTATCTGGGAGGGGTCGCCAACCTTTTGGCAGGGACCACCAAACTCATAATTTTAAATCCCAGGACCACTAACCGGTTCTGTGGGTGTGGCCTAATTTGTGGGTGTGGTTTGGTGGTCATGTGACTGGCTGGGCATAGCTTGTATGTAAATATTATAAATATTTATATAAATATTGAAATTTTTTATAAAAAAGAGAAACCTTTACCCAAAATCAGGCAAAGCAGGCAGGCAGATTGAGTTGCTCAGAGAATCATTCAGTGATCTATCTATCTGCCATCGGCTACCTGAGTCTGTCACATAAAATTTGCTTGTCCTGAGTCTGCACTGAATAATAGAATCTTCAGTCCTAAAGGAAGTTTGGCTGTGCTTAAAAGCACAGCCGAAGATCTAAAGACTAGCTAGAAAGCAAGAAATCCACCCCTTTCCTGCTTCCTAGCTAATCTAAATCTCCTGGCACAGCAGAACAGATGATGGTCGGAAAAAGGAAAAATAGCAAATTAGCAGGCAAGTTTGCAGGGTAAGGAGTGAGTGGGTGGGGAGGGTTCCCGCGGGCCATGTGGGCGGCGCAGCCTTGTGTTTCTGTGCAGCTTGGATTAATTGCTTTGGGGGGGTGCTCTGGGGGTGAGATTTCTCTGTGGCCCGCCAAAATTTTCTCACGGCCCACCAATGGGCCGCAGCCCACCGGTGGGTGACTCCTGCTCTAAAATATATTCTATTGGCTTATTATTAAACTAGATTTGTTGAGAATTCTGGTTTATTAAAGGTAACAGTAAAGCTAGTTCATTCTTCACATATATTTCTATCTTGAAACCTATAAGCCAGAATGGAAAAATAATCAGAAACATACCAGCCATAGAAAGCTTACCATTGGTGGTGAAATTTGCAAATCCTCTAACAAGCCATAAATGTAAATAAATTATGAGTCCTCTCAAACTTTGCAATTTGGGTTTGGATGTAAAGTTAACCTTATTTGGACTAACAGAAGTCATTGTCATTTGCTTGAGATAAGCAGAAGCAGCTGGGGATTTAGTAAATTCCTGATGGTGAGAAGAACTAAGAACCAAAATTAACAGAAACCTGGTTTACACTGTGGCAAATTATTGAGAAAGAGCCAGCTTATTGCCAGGTAATCAGGTGGTTGTTTCATAAACAAAAGAGCTCCTTTGATTCACAGAAAGGATTTCCATTTAATAAAGGCTTCTTCAGTGTTGCAGTGATGTTCCTCTACACACAATCAAGATCCATAGAGTTGCTCTCCACCTTGTCCACCCTGCCTGTAGATTTTGCAAGGTTCCACAGATAGAACAGCAAATGACAAAAATCACTCTCTCTTTTCCTACAGAAATAGTATAATACCGGATGCATCACACGCTGGCCACCCACACCCATGTGGGGGAGGAAATTCCGATATGTCATGTGATGTTGCTATGACGACATGACTTTGACACCCTTACTATAACCAGTGCTCAAATGACCATTCTCTATGTTCATTAAAGAAGGGGACAGCATTCAGCATGCTTTAAACACAGACAATGCATAGAACAGGATTGTGCATACATTCAAATTGGAACACACAGATTTGCACATATAAGAGTACAATAGAAACAAAATATAAGGCCTTCAGTTTCTATGTGGACATACATTAGTGACCCATAACCAGCTCATTCATGAGGTTAGTTTTACATTCTCTTTTGCCTTTGCTTACCTGATGAAAGCAATTTCCTACAGCAGTCAGCATGTGCATTAAGTGCTGCCAAGTGTAAAGGAAACATGCGATGAATGCCACATCTGCAAAACAAACAAACCTCTAATATAAACATTTCTTCAAATAAAGTATGTAGACCCTTCTCTCTGTATATCTCTCTCTTAAATCTATTTGCTATAGGGAATTTTGGTTTATTTCAGAGTGATAAGATGGCAATATGTATTTAGTGATACATGGTAAAGCTTTACAAAAATTTCCTGCTTACTAAATAACAATCCCTTCCAGAAACAATTTGTAATCTCCCTGTCATACAAATATGTTATCAGACAGATTGTAAAAGTACAGGAATAATCTATTGGGATTCATTAGAACAATTTATTACACAATGTCCAGGCTACGTCTTAGAAATTTCCTATATTAATATAAATAGGTCAAATTTAGTTATTTATTCCTTCATCCCCCTACACATAATTATCTCAGATAATGCCCTTTGACTTTACTTCTTCAAGCATTCTATTTGCAAAGCTTCTGTTTCTGGATGCCAATCTGGAAGGATACAAAATGATCTTGACAAAGAACAATTCATATTTTCATTTTAGGTCCCAGATATATTATCCCATCCTGTCATTGATGTCTATCTAATGATTCCAAGTTGGATTCTCACTTCACTGGACATCACAGGCACTGACAGAGGTGTTTTATTTGATCAACATACAAGTAATTGAAGCATGAAATAGAAATTTTGAGCGGATAACCTGGATTGCTGAACCCTTTTCTCTCACTGATGTTCATTTCTATCTTCAGCAGTTAGAAAAGGAATGGATTAAGATTCATATCGGAATAAGCCCCAAATATTGTAGATTGTACCCTTCTAAACCTTCTTTCTGTATCTAAACAAATAATGACAGTTTATGGTACGAGAAAGAAAATATAGCAATAGTTCTGAGTTGTACAGTCCAATCATATTATAATATTAGGCATAGAAATGGTAAAGGTTGAAATATAAATATATTAATTACAACTGTAAACATTGATCCTGTCTTGCTATGGACTTTAGTCAAAGCTATTGGTGTCACACAGAATGGTTTTAACAAATTAAAAAGGGTCCAGCAACCATTAATCCACCTTAAATAGTTACAAAATATTATCAACTATTGCTAAGTAGGCCATCTTCCCAATCCAAAGTTAAAGTCTAAAATGAATGATATAATTTTACAATTTGGAGTATTAAGTCTTCAGCATCTTACTTGGCAGCATCAGCTCCACTGGTTATTAAGGTATTAATCAAAAGTTCATGTCCATATCTTGCAGCCACATGGAGGGGAGTGTTGCCATCCTTATCAACACAGTCAATTTCACCTCCTGGATATGTCATTTGAATATGAAAATATTATGTAAGGATCAAGTGCAATTTAATGAAAAAAACTAACACATTAGTTGCAAGGAGTAGAGAGTTTCATCCGTACAGCCAGTAGAAGATATGACACAACTGTCTTTTCCCTATTTACAATATATTATTTGAGACAGAAATATGAAAACATTAGCAATAAATTTATTGAATTAGTATACCATATATTACTAATCAAAAAAATTGTATACTATTAGATCTAGTGCTATATATCCTGAAAGGGCAACCAAAGTACATAAAATTATTACCATACAACTTTGATACTGGTACATAAAAACTGCTAACAAACCTTAACAAACTATAATTTCACACAAATAGAACGCATTATGACTTAATATGATGGTCTGATCACCGTAACACATTTAAGGCTGGGTTCATTTCAGGTTGGGTTCCCTGTACATTAGGAACTACAAAGTACCAAATTCCATCAATCAAGGCCTTGACCAATTCAAAAAGAAGAAAATAAGACAATTCTATCCAGTGAAAAGCTGTGGCATTTTAATTTCTCATAGAATATCTTACTTAAATGAAAAAAAACTATCAATTGAAATCAATAGTGCCAAGACAAAAGGGCAGGGGTCAAATACTACCAGTTCTCATCTCTTTGCTAGAATCTCTTGTTAACTTTCTAAGCAGTTTGGAGAACCGGTTGTTGGAAGAAATCTCCTTTTGTTTTTTCCACTTTACAGGGCTAATCCTGTAAGGAAGGCAGGAAGGAAACATTCTGGTGTTGTTTCTTCTAGCCTAATCTTTATTGCCCTGCTTACAGAAATTGCCTCTCCATTAACCTTTATTACGTTCTTGGCAGTACGCCCAGACTTCCTGTCGCCTGAGCTCCGGAGGTTTTTTCTTTGCTGGTACTTTGCTGGGGCTTGATTTCTTAAAAGGGAAGGGTTGTTTTAAACTTTTTACACTGATGTTGGGAGGAAATACTCCCCTGGAAATACTTCCAGCCGGGATGCAATGATCAGCACTTTGAAGAAATAATTGAATAATGAAGCAGAGCTGCCAGAAAGAAGCTTTTAATGACAAGGAACCAAGATGAGTGAGATTTAGCAAGCCTTCTTGGCTAGCTAGAAAGATTGATGTTCAAATGTGAGTTTACATACCTTTTCTGAGTTTTGGTCTAAATGATTTTTGGTGAAGTTTAATTCTGTGCTTGGTCACGTTTAATCCTGTGTTTATTGATGGGATAATTTTCCCTATTCAAGCTTTGTTTGGAAGGAAAAAGGTTAATCTCTGTTCCTGAAAAGCAACTGGGTTGAGAAATCTGGCTAGTTCCTGTGTCTATTTGTTCTGGTAATTGGTTTAATGATCAACAGCTACTGTTGTGATTTAATTATTTGTATTGGGTTTGAATTTTTTTCTGCCTCATGGTTTCTTTTTCTATCTGGGGAGGGGGGTCTTCCTTCCTTTAGTGGTTCTTCTAGTTTACCAAGTTATGTAAATTTGACAAATAAGTTAGTTCATCTTCAGAATTTCTCATGAATTTTTATGTTTGCTTTTCTTTCTTTCTTTCTTTCTTTTTTTGCTAACATTTTGCTAATAAAATTCAGAAGTTCATTAATCTGCTTCTGGATTGCTAGTATTTCTACTGCTTTGTCAGTTATACTTAAACTATAATGAGATTACTGTATTTTTATTACACAATTCAGTTTGACATCAAACTGAAGAAAGATTTTAAGCAGGGAGCTATAGGTCCATGCCATCCTTAATATTTTTATAATTAAAAATATTACTAAAACTAAGAAAACTATTTAGTCCCTATGGATTAGTATCAGAGGCCTTTTTTTAAAAGGTGAGTTCAGATTTCTGATATGAGCAACCTGTTCCTTTTCTGAACAGAACAGGATGACAAAAAAGGTGACAAAAAGAATCAGAAAGACAGAGAAATTATCTCCCACCCAGGGTGTTTGATGTAGGTTTTCTGGATCATTCATAGTAATAAACTATATAGTGGACTAAATTCTCACTGTGATTTTGTGGTTGTATTTCCTTTTAAACCGATATCCATGCATATACGTATGCATATCTACAACGTATGCCAAATATATATTTTCTGTTTCTACAATTTCCCCATATTTCTTACCTGAACCAAACCTAAACATGCTGCAAAATTCTTATTTAGATTTAAGAAAATAGATATCTAGGTTTTTATTTAAAAGTCATTTCCTTCGTAAAAGGGAGTAGATATTATTAGAACTGAGGGCTAAAACTGTTTCCAGCTTGTACTATCTTTCTGATAATTCATCATACTAACAGCTTGGACAGCATTCAAGTAGAAACAAAGACTTTCTTAATGAGAACATCGTGACCTGGAATAAACCTTATTAATGATATGATGGCAAATGGAGAGAATTCAAGGCAGTACTATGCAAAATCTGCATATGCCAGAATTTTTAATTTCGCTAAAAATATTTTTCTAGTATTTTCCTGACTTTACAGCCTAAGATTTCTATATGCACCACATTCATTTTGGCAACTTTGTCAGAGATGAACCAACATATAAGCTTAATGATGAAAACTTCTGCACATAACAGTGCAATCAAGAAATAGTAGTTTTACACCAGATTTATGGATATTCCAACTGTGCCCTGTTTACTGTATATCTTCTTTGGAGATGTTCTGCAACTGTCTGCAAACTCAATGAATGTTAAAAAATAACAAAAAACTAAAAATGCCTATCCTAACCTTAACCTTATAGACATTATTCTCTCCTCCCTCTATCTAGTGAGTCTTTGATAATTTCTAGAAGGGTTGCTAATTTTTGCTCAATTGCCATTGCTGTGGTTTACTATTTTACCCTGCTGATGTCTTAATTAAGTATAGTTTCTAGTTAAGTTCATTTTACTATTTATGATTTCTCTTCCTAGTCATTTCAGTTGTCTCTGACTATAAATAAAGAAATAAATAAATTACAAAAATGTTTAAATAGTTCTATTTTTTACTCATGCTTCTTTTGGACTGTATATCCAAAAGAAATAAAATATATTCATTTTCTAAAAAGATTAAAGTTTAAAACTTGACAAAATTAATAAAGATGCTTTCAAATGATACAATAGTAAAAATAGTAGCTTACCATTCTGAATGAGAGTTTGTGACCGTGTAAACCTCCCATGGACAGCTGTCATATGCAGTGGGCTTTTTCCATCTTTGCTCTGTCAAACAAAAAAACCCAAACATAAGACAGATCACACCTATTAGTCGTGAAGTGCCTATTTCCTTTAAGGTGCTCTTGATGTACCACATTTAGATATAAAATGGCAAAATTGGACACTTCCTAAATATACAGAAAGAAGGATGTTTCTCAATTAAAATAATATTCAAAGCACCTTAACATTTATGGCCTGGTGAGCTTCTAAGACTTTATAGAACAGAGTAAGATTTTTTTACATTGTGTTTGCCTGTTGATCAGGCCTTTGGGAATTTTTTAAATAAATAACTGGGTTCATGTTCTGAAAACATTTAAAATATAGAGCATAGATGCGTAAGAAGAAATTAACATACTCCTCTAAGAAGAGACAGCATAGCAGTAGCCTAGTGAATCACATTCCCTCCCCCACAAAATACCTTAGTTTTTCTCCCCATTTCTAAATTATCTAGTGATATTAAAACAAAAAGATTCAGGGATGGTTGTCAACCTTCTAAGTAATATTGCAAGAAAAGGTGGGGAAGAAGAAATATATGCCTCCATTTTTAGACTACAGTATTGTAGCTAGAAGTAATCCTGTAAAGGGATGGAGTGAGAAAGGAACATTTTGTTTCTGATCCCATTTGTGATATATAGAATACCTATAATGGGCAAGATGTGTCTACATGTTTAATGATGGCAGTATCTTAAGAGAAGCTGAACAGCCTTTGATTTCAATTCTTCACCTCTGAACCATGTGAAGGACACTGCCTCGTTTTTCTTTATTCTCCATGTAAACTCATATCTATTTATTATTCACCTATTAAATTTATAAGCTGCCTATCTTGCTGTCTAGCGCGACTTTAATGTAACAGTTATCCATTCCAAGTGATTTTTGCATAAAAATGTCTGAATTAGAAAGTTAAAAATTCAATAGTCATGATTTTTTTCCCTTCAATAGTCATGCCTCCCATACTGTTCAGAAAAGAAATGTACTCTATATTTAACAGGCATACCGCAAAGCTCAGCATTTAAATGTGTAGGTGTAACACGTAATCTTCACTTACCTGATCTCCCTTCCATTTATCTGCTGTTTAAATGGAAATCAAAAGGAAGAGATGTGAAACCTATAATTTTACCTGAATGTTTACATCTGCCCCATTATTCACAAGTAGTTCCAGACAAAGGGCCCCGTGAGTAGAAGCAGCAGCAAAATGGAGGGGAGTGAATCCACTGTTATTAGGCTGATTGACATTAGCTCCATAGTCTATCAGCTCATTAGCCACAGAATCCTGCCCATTATAACAAGCAATATGAAGGGCAGTATTTCCATAGACGTTCATTTCATCAATCTGCAACATCAAAATCAAGGCATTAGTTTTGTCTAGCTCATACCTTGTTGTGTGTTATTCCAATTTTTTTATTATTGTATCAGAATATAAAATACAAAGCATAACTAAAATAATGGGAAACTAGGGAGGAAAAGGGAAAGAGGAGAGAGTGTGGAAAAAAAAGAAAAAAAGTGTTGATTTCCGGCTCTTTTTAGCACATTGTTTGTTGACTTAGCTGGAAAATTGCAGGACATGGTTTGTTATTAATTAACAAAATATAATCTGTTATAACTATAAAATACTAACTATGCCATATGAGTGTGTAAAAGAAAAAGAGGTTTTAGTAAGGATAAAGTGGTTTTTAATATTTCAAATAGAAGATAATGCACTTCTTCAAGAAAAATTGTATCATACAACAAAAGGTCTAAATATCTTACTGCTACATAAAACAACATATGAAAAAAAATTTCAACTTAATGATTTGCCTCCTGTGGCTACAAAATTAATCATTCAATTTTATGAATAAAGCAAAAAAAAAAAAGTTATACACTCCAGAAGGGACTTGTTCTTATAATATTGATATCAAACTCTGAGATTGGGAGAATTATCATCCAACAAACAAAACAGTGGAAATGTGGCCGTTCATTTAAAGCAGCCCTGGAAGAGGCTGAATGAGATTATTTTAATTTGAATTAAAGGGGGTGGGGGGGGTAATAGGAACTTGCAGAACTATGGGCCCATTCTAAAAATATACTTTATATAGTATGAAGCCTCCTGGCTCGGCCCGTCTGTCTCCTTCAGCTTGTACTATGAAATGTAAACTTTTGACTTTTTAAAGCACAATCCTGGGAAAATATGCTGTCACTAAAAGAGAGGCAGATACTGTACTGCATTTCCACTTCAGCACTCTGTTCCAACTCTATTAGTGTTGTTCCAAAGGAAATATGGCTGGTCCCCATATTTCCTCATGTAGTCTTCTTTAAGACAATGTTGGAATTTTTGCTCTAGCATTTAAAAACTAATTCCAGGGGCTAGCTGCTTTTTTACTTCATTTTAAAATAAAATAAATTAATTTATATTGTTATTGTTTTAAGGTATGTTGGTTTGATCTTTGATGGCTTTATTCAGTGTTGTTTTATTGTTCTATTACAAACTGTTTTGAGCTCCTCCAAGTAGAGAAACTGTAAATTAAAAATAACAAGATTTTTCTTAAAAAAAAACAGGGTTACATTTTTTTCAAGAAATTGCATCTTTCCCATGTTTTTAGGTTTGCACAAAAATCTTGCATATTGTTTGTAAGTGTTTATCTTTGCTTGGATTCATTCAAACATGGACATATGTTAGTTGGTGGCAGAAAAAGAAAGAAAGAAAGAAAGAAAGAAAACAAAACAAAAAATAGTATGGTTATCTAGGTTAAAGCTGTCAAAGCACGAAACAGATTATTTATGTAATAAGATAAGGGAGACAACAAAGAAAATTTGTCCAATAACATAGGGGCAATTATCTTCATTTCAATATAATTTATATGGTGTGTTGCACATTACATGCTTCAGTGGCACCTCTGTATGATATATTTTTATTATTATATCAAGTCTAAGAGACAAAGAATGTTGGAGAATTACATTTGTAGCTGTCACTCTGAACAATTATTACATATTATTATAGCAGTAGCAATAGCACTTAAGACTTATATACCATTTCACAGTGCTTTACAGCCCTCTCTCAGCAGTTTACAGAGTCATCATATTGCCCCTAACAATTTGGGTCCTCATTTTACCAACCTTGGAAGGATGGAAAGCTGAGTCAACCTGGAGCCTGGTGAGACCTGGCCGAACTGCTGACAGTCAAGCATTCTGCAGAATTAGCCTGCAATACTGCATTCTAACCACTGCCCCACCACAGCTCCCATGGATAATATCATTATCCAGAATAATTAAAATAATTTATAATCCAAAGAATGGAATAAAAGTTCCTTCATCAACTTTGTCAACAATAGCACACATTTTGAAAAGGTGGCCATTCATTCATTCCATACAAAAATTAAAGCTTCAGGATTTATAACAATTCAATCTTTACAAGCTTGCTAAACGTAGCATTTAACAGCTTCTTACCTCCACACCAAGATTCAGCAAGTGTTTCACTACACTGATCTGGCCACTGGATGCAGCAGCATGAAGTGGAGTGTAACCTTTCTTATCTTTACATGTCACTTCAGCACCATGACTAATCAATAATGAAACAACTTCCAAGTGGCCTAAAAAAGACAAGGAAAATGTAGTATTTCTTGTCTATCTTGGCAATGCAATTTAATATGACCCTCATTGTTGGTATGCTACTCTAGGTTCATAACTCAATCTCAAACAAAAGATGCTCATTCATTAGACAATTGTGAGTGTATATGTTTAATACAACTGAAGGAAGTTGAGAGATCCAATTTTATATGATATATATAAATATAAAAAATCCTGGATGATTATTGTTCCTGGACAGGACAATAAAACCAATGAAACCTGTGTATCTGAAGATAGTTTAATTATAATACTCACACACATTGATTTATAACCCTTCAAATTATCTTCAGCCCTTTGAAAAAAGAAAAGGGAAAGCAACAACAGACAGTTCCAAGATTCCAGTTTTAGGAAATCCGATACTGAAGAGATCTTCACATAAATAATTTCCCTTTTTAAAAAAGAAATTATTTTAATTCCACTGTATTCTACTTTGGGCTTACTTGCATTTTAAAGACAATTCAAAAGTTGTATTTCTTCCAGTTACTGTAGATAAAGGAACATGCATAGCTGGTTTTAAGGAACTGTATTTTTTTTCTTTACACTTCTTCTAACGTAATTACTCCAATAGTGAGAGTTTCACTTTCACAGGGAAGATCCTATGAAAAGGCTTTTTAAAATATGAATGCTAATTGGTTCACCTTTTTCTGCTGTTAAACAGCTGAATTGTTATGCTATGAATTGTTTTCATAATAATTAAGTTACCATCATATACCTGGCAGCAAAAAAGGGTCATTAATACGTGATAATTGTTCTGTTGAATTTCATAGTACAGTAAATAAATGATAATATCTTTTCTTTTCCTTAACTGTTAACTCTATTGATGCTTATGATTAGTTAGCAATCCCATTTTCAAATATCCTATAAACAGCAGTATCTAAAGATGGAGCTGACTGACAGTTCTGAGTTTTTGGGCTTCTTGGAAAAAATGGTAAACTGAAGACAGTTCCACTAAATGTGGAGCCAAGAAACACAGCAAAATAAAAAGCCACCAAGTAATTCCTTTCTGGACAAAGAAAGACTTGGGATTGTGACGAGTGCTCAATGCAGCTGTTCCTTGCAAGGAGTTAACAAGACAGAATCTCCAATGGGTTTAGAAATTTGGGAGACTAGGGAATAGCCACCTTCTGAAACCATGGTTGGCAACTTTAAAACTGTATTATCATACTTCAGTTGCTAATCACTTTTAAAAATTGCTCATTAACTGCTCTTCAGCTGTAAGTAATCACTGGATTGACAAATCTGAAAACACCAGGTGAGCTTCCTTCAATCCCTAACAAAGTAAGTTTTACATACAGGTTTAAGGACTTAATTTGCTCTAATAAACAGCAAAAGGCTAATTAAAACTTGATTTTGGAAAGTTACAAACAGATTTCAAATAAGATTCTGGAATTCTCTGTGGGAAAAAAACTTTCCATTTTGATTTTTTTTTTAAAAAAATTGACATCCTGGGATGTTGAAAGTTGGAACTACAGGGAACTAAGAGGAACTAAATATTACAATTAAAGTAGAAAAAACATGCATTTGATTTACAAGTACAGAAGGAAAAAATTGTTTTAATATTACACATTTTGGAGGATATTTTTGAACAATGGACTAATACTTATTTTTAAGAGTGTCTGTCTCTATAGATAAATTGTCTTGCATTCCTGCAAACTGCAGTTCCTGAACCAGCATCACAGGGTAATGACAATATCAAATTTATATCAGTAATTTCTTCAAAAACTGTCCCAACCATTTTCAGCAGACTTGTCTACAAAGCTTTGCAAAGAAAAGTATAAATTAAGTCTTCTTTGTGAAGCAGAATATGGTTGTTAAATCCAAAAGATGAGCTCCATATACTAATTACTTTGATCTTTTTCCATATGTTTTACACATTTTTGCCTTTCAACTAACATATAGAGAACTCTTTTGTAAGTCACCAATGGGAAAGAGTCTTTCAGCAAAACACATGGATTCCTGATCAAAAGACATAGCTAATTGAAAGCAACATTTCTAAAGAATAGTTTCCTTAGTCTATCTTATAAGATGAAGTCCTATACATAATAAATTACATGCTCTCTCAGAGATAAATTATAGATATGATTCAGTTCAGAGATAGGATCCCTCTTCTTCTTGTGATTTCAACATACTGTAGTTTTTTAAAAATCATGATTTCTTTTCAAAGTTAGTATCCTTGAAGGTTCTTCTTAAAAAAACCAATTGTTGATAACATGTCAACTTCAGCTTGACCCAGATATAATGTCCTGGGCCATTTTTGTTTTAACTCCTTTTTGCTTTTTTTTTTTTTGGGGGGGGGGGGTAAATGATATATCTGTATCATATTATGACTAATGCATTTTGATTTTCCTTTCTGCTTGGAGACTATGTGTCAGTCATCTGTTTTCATGAGCATCAGTTTGTAAAATTTAATACTTATTAAATTATCAAACATCAGCATTAGAAGAATATATCAAACAAAAGAAGAAATTCAAAGAAGAAATATGCTTATTAAATTAAGGGAAGATCTTGAGTATTGTAATTATTATTATTACTACTACTATTGCCAATCATGTTACACACATTTTGCTAACAAAAAAGAAAGAAACTCTCTTACCCTTGTATGCTGCCCAATGTAAAGCTCTTCGGTCTCTTTTGTCGAAGGCATTAATATTTGCCCCTTTAGCCAAAAGTAAACTCACCATCTAAAACAAGTAAACAGCCCCCAAATATACATCAGTCAATAGTTATAGACTATGCAAAAATTGATTTTTAGTTTGATTTGTACTTCACAAATGTGTTTACTTTTATTGATTGATTGGTTATTTATTCATTTACTCAATCCACTGGATGCAAATTTGCAGGACAATTCTGAGTCTGGTGTTCAGTTCACATCACATACGGGAAATGATTTTGCCCGACCAAACATATTTCAACATAAAAGAATAATATTATTAGGGCACTCACTTCAACATGGCCATTCAGAGCTGCATGGTGTAATGCTGTCCGACCTCCTCTGTCAGAGACATTGACACTACTCAGAAGTGGAATTATCACGTCAGCACACTTCACAGCTTTATTTGCAGCTGCAACATGTAGGGGTGTCTGCCAGTTCTTGTCTCTGGCATTGACGTCAGCTGAATGCTTAATCAATACTAGTACGGCTTCCTAGGATATCACACAATTAAACCACAAGGAAAGCATTTATTAGAAACTATAGATTATATTTACAAATCTTATACTGAACAGTGGCCTATGTATATATTACTTCTCTTCTGAAAAGTAAAATGGACTCCATTACCTTTATGCATATTGTGTTGAGTAGCTATAGAAATGTTCCTCTAGCTTGACTGAAGTGTTTAAATCCAACAGCTCTCAACATGGAAGGAAATGCTACGGTTGACATCCTACTCTGAGATAAATTCATATTCCTGTACGATTTACTGTAAATCATACTTCTCCAAAACTTCTCCAATCTGATATGTAGGATTGCAAACTCCATCATTCCCAGACTAAACATTCAACCATGTTTATTCAAAATTAAATCAAACCTAGTGGAGCATATTTATCAATCGGCTTAGATGTCGATTGTTAAGTAAGTGAAAATACTTTCAAATGTGTACTTTGTACCCAGTCTGAAGACTTCTGTTATCATACAGCATTGGCAATAGTTGAAAGCTGAGCTGATATCTTCCTGGTTGGGCTGCAGAATATATGAAATCACACTTTAAATGGTTTCTCTTTTGCTAGGCTGACACTCTGGAGGACTTGTCAATTTTCCACTGGTGGGAATTCTTCTGTTTACCCTCCCTCCAAATTCCTTAGCTCAATCTAACCTCTCCCTCCTCCCACAGAGAATCAGCTGTCATTGCTTCACTTATGTGCTATTATTAACTTTTTAAAAAATACCAAAGGACAAAGCCTTTGTGGCTTTGTAGCTCTCTTTACTTGGCCAGATAACTTTCCTTTTTTTTTAGAAATTACCAATCAAATACATACAATATGGAAATAAAAACAAAAAGGAGAGATGAGGCACTGACTGAACAGAGTCTTTGCTGCTTGATGATTGATCAGCTAAAGGGACTTGACTTAATGTTTCTCAGCAGTGTGAGAGGCAGAAGTAGTGAAGAAAATTGTGAGTCACCTCAAATTCTTTTTAAGGGATTGGGGGAGTGAAAATGACAAAGTGAAAATACATTTTTACTGGTTTAATCTAAATTATATAGTAGTTAGCTTTTTCACAGTGGCTGCCTTCTGAAGAATTCTGGCCTTGTGTGAATGTGTTCAGTCACTCCAACTTTGCTTCTACTGCCGTTGCAAAGGACTAAACAAACCACAGCATAATTTCTTCTTAGTGTGTTTTAATGTGATGTGCAGCTGGGGAATTCTGGCTTTTTCTCATTTTAACATGCCAGATTTGAAAGCCAATAACTCAATATGTATACCCGCTTCCCACAGGTGGCCATCAAAGAAATTGAATGGAGCTGGAAAAAACTTGCATCTTACTAAACTATTAGGGAGAGAAGGAGTGGAAAGTGCTTTTCAGCTTGAGATAACTTCGATTTTACCTGGGGAAATGATCTATAATCAATGACTTTATTTACGTAGACATTATTTAAATATGTAGTTATGTGGTTTCCCCACTGACTACTACATAAAGACTTTTGACTTGCAGACATCTACCTAGAATGCATGGCTCACAATGGGTATAGTGGAAAACCATGCAGCTTCCAAAACCTGTACCAACACTGTGGCTCCACTGTTCTTTTAATTGCCCTTCAGACTCATTATATGCTTAAATCAGAATAATGATCAATCTA